ATCAATCCCAAGCATAGAAGAGAACTCAGTATCTGACACTGAACACGCTCTTCTCCCAGACCTGAATTGGGAGAACAGAATATTGCACTAACGCATTCACTTTCCTGTGCCTACATATACTTCTCATATTTTACAGACCCTTCAAGAGCAGATCTATTCAGTTTATTATTAAATGGAAGTAGAACAGATACATATACTTCATTTCTTATTATTTATGCATCTGCCTATATTTTGGCATGAGAAGCATGATCTTTGCTACTGTAGCATAAGCAGAAAATTCATTTCAGTGAAAACACACCTGTAGTTTACTGTATGGACACATAAGGAAGGCACATGAAAGAGCTAGAACAGCTGACTGCCTGCGAACCTTCATGTCCATAGGCTCCTTCTAGAGTAAGTGGAGAAGAAAAGACTGTACCAGGGATCGATTTGGTGCATCAATCACTGCTACAGAAAAGGTATTTTTCCTATATCTTTACAGAATTTGTTAATATGGAAGTTAGCATCTGCCTTTAATTCAAAAATTGCTATGAAGTCACTTGAAAACTGTTAATTTTCTTCTCTTTTCTAATGGTTTCTGAGTTTTTCTCAGTATAAATCTGCTTCATTAGGACTAATCTCCTGCTAGAAGGTCAGCAGTAACATTAAAAAGGGGGGTCCCAGCTAAGAAAAGCAACTCTTCCATCCACTGACCAAAGACACTAACTTAGCCAAATAATTGCTTAATTTTTTTTTCTAAACATACTGTAAAATTAGTTTTTAGATCCATATTAAGTAAATACTTAATTGGTTAGCTGAGGATTACAACTGTGTCCTCCAGCCCTTGTTTTTGTTAAACTGAAAACTTACTCATATAGGAAGATTTTATAGCAGTGTAAGAGGTAGCCTCCATAATCCTAGCTTAGAAATTGAACCAGTTTAATTAAATGTGTCTCTTTAAACTGACTGCTACAAAACACAGCATGGTACTCTTAATCAAATTTAAACCTGTTCTATTCATATACCCCCCACAGAAACTAAAGATACTGCAACCCATATTTACATCTATTTCAGAGCTAGCTCAAGGCTTCTGAGCGGTGCAAACAAAGCTGAATTTTGTCCTCTCCTCAAAGATATGTCCAAAGTAACTTCTCAGGGCAGGATGGGGCTGTTATTGCCCTGGTATGAGCAGGTGAATTTGCCCCTTCCTGTCAGTTCTCCTATTATTCAGGCTTTTTGCCTAACCTAGCCAACTCTCCTCCCTGCCCATGCCAAAGGCCAGTGCTGAGAATCTGGTTTTAAATGAAATTAAACAAATCACAATAACTGTCATTAAGAACAAAACCTTAAAAAAAATTTTACTAACAGTCCAGGATCTCTGAAGCATCTCCCCAGTAGCTGACCAGTTAAGGCAGGTCCCCTATATAGCAAACCAAAGCCTACTGAACAAGACGTTGGCTTTCCAAGACCCTATAGACTCATTTCAAGTAAAACCGGGATCACCCTGCCAGGGTCCAGGAGACTTCAAACTGAAATCACTGAGCTACAAGATGTGATTTTATTGGGACTGTATTTCATAAAACTCTGTGCTCCTTGCGGAAAGTATAAAACGCTGTCAAATGCCACTGGACGTTTAAGCCTTTTCAACCTCTCTAAGACGATGCTCACAAACAAAAAAGATGGGCTTACGTCTTCTCTGTCCTTTATCAGACTAATCAAGTACCAATACAGTACAGACTTTTCTTTGTATTTTGACTATACCCATTCAAAGGACCAAATACTCCTATATGATGCATAATTTTAAGTAGCATTTTTTTTTTTTACCTGAAGAGATCTTGCAGTAGAGAAGCACACTATCCTTATAGAGTAATTTTGACCTGTAGTTTTCAGGCAACTCACTTCCTTAAAAACCTAAGTAAATACTCTGTTCTTTAAACAGAAGAACACAGAATACACTCCTGATCACATAATATGCTTCTGCTTTGTCACCAGCATTTCTTTTTATTTAAAAGAACAACAGGAAATGGGAAAGAAAAGACTTCTCTTAAAGGACAACTCACTGAAGGGTCTTTTAGCTGGCAATTGTCAGCACTGCTCAGGGCCAATGGATCAAATTTAACTCTAAAAAGTGCTGACGGTTGTATGAGTCATCACAGCGGGAGCTGGCACTCTGGGCCACTCAAGTTCAATTTTTGGTGTTACCAGTGGCTTTAGGAACTGGAATCTTGGTGAGCAAAGATTTGCTCAGTATTTGATGCACTGGGTAAAGTGGCAGTCTTAAAATCACCTGCCTCCCAAGCAGCTAGTAAACCAGCAGGAGGTTAGCAGGAAGAGAAAGTAATTGTCCTTTGTGCCTCTGAAAATAGCCAACATAAATGGATCCTCTTGTGGATTACCAGGGTCTCAATCCACATTTGCAGCTCAAAGAAAAAGAGAGAGGCTGAAGAAGACAGAAAATAAAGCTGTCAAAAATATTAGAGGAGACCCTCCTCAAGCTGTCATGAAGCATATGGTCTCCTCATCTAGAAATGTGTGCAACATAAAGCATGTGTAGTCAGTGAGCAATAACAACTTGTTCAGACAGTGCACTTTACATATAGAGAATATACTATGCAGATGCCTGCGTATGTGTGTGTGTCCTAGAAGAGACCTGAGCCACAGAGAAAGCACTGCAAGGATGACAATCCTGCACCTTCCTAAGACGTCCATCAGTGGAGTAAGCGACATACACACTTGAGCTGCTTTAACCAACTGTACACACCTAAGTTGAAAACCGTGTTTTCTGTAGCCTCCACTCTCCAAAGAATGCCAATGAACATGCAGATTAATCGTATCATAATTAGAGGTAGGACATGAATCTAAGGTTTTGGTCTTGACCTGAATTTTCTTGTCTGTACTAAATTTCACAACGGAAAACAGATTTGGATTCAGATTCCCCTAGTCCTATACAGTTTGGTCACTAACGTGAAAGGAAGTTTTCTTGATCTGGTCTAAGCATGCCTTGAAAAAGGCAGAAAGTTCCCAAAAGCTCCCAACACTTCAGTGCCACTCAACAGGAGCTCGTTCTTGTTTTAGGCTTAAACTAGTATGTTGTCTAAACCAAATTTGGATTTGACCTTGACTACGCCATGATCATCTCTGATGCCTTGAAGAAAGGAAGAATTGAAAGAAAACTGAGTTTATAAAAAAAAGTTTACAGTACAGGAGAGTTCATAGACTTTACAAGGGTCACTCCCACGGTGTAAGGCCCAGTTGTCCACTTTCTTTGAGAGCCACACTCCCACTGCCTTCAGTGGGAGTATGACTTTGCCCGTTCAAGGAACATGTGAGCGTTCTTATGTATAAAACGAGGGAAAAAAATTCTTTGCTAATAGGAAAAACATCCTTATAATAATACTAATCTATTTATAATGGTCAAAAAAATATGACAGCTTACAACAGCGTCACAGCAGTGCTTTGGCAATATTTTAGCATACTGCTGTATTTTTAGAAAGACTGTTCATTTACTTTCTCTTAAATGCTGGAATTCTTATTTTTCAACAAACTCTCTATTTTTTGGTATATCCATATGTCAACATCACAGTATTTTATATCGGGGTAAGTATGAACCACAGGCAGAAATAAAGCTCCTGTATACATGTTGCATTACAGCAGCGCTGTCAGAGATGCCAAGTCTCAAACTCCTCCTATGCTTTATGTAGTGATAGTTAGCTACACTACTTTTAAACCGTCTTGGAATGTAGCGGTATATTTTTACGACGAGTAACAGAGAGCTGCTGTTTCTTAATCCTGAACACTAAGGAACTATCTTATTGTAAACAATATATCTGACAGTTTAATGATATTGCTCAACCTAACTGGTTTTGGCAAGCAGAAGGTAAGATAAAGGTGCAGCAATATGTTTAAGTACTTTTCTATTTTTTTCAGCCTAGAGCCTTCAGAAGTGTATCTTACCATTTCAGAATTCATTAGCAAACTGCCTGCATGCTTAACTGAAAAACAGTAAGCTCTCTGGAACTCTCACCTACTGCTACGAGATCAAGACAACAGGACAACTGCAGTCCTTAAGAACCTCTACAAATTGAGCTCAAACGCACATAGACAAAAATCTATATGCTTTTATTTTCTTTTCAAAAATCATATATTAGCTTCCACCACTTACAAAAACTTTTATGAGGCTAAATTAGGTACATGTGCACACATATGTTAGCTAAATTAACCTGAAACACTCAATACATCTCAAATGCCCCTCTGTTTACAGAAGACACTTGCAGCTTTCAATTCGTGTACTCCTTACAGCGTAACTCTCAACCAAAACAGTTTAAGTTCAACCAGAAAGCTCTGTTGCAAGACTTCCAGATATAATGGCCATGTGTTTATCAGGTTCTCATGTTCAAATTATGTCAGAATAGACACGCTATCCATTCACAAAATGCAACAAATTGATGCCAGCCTTTCCATTTTCAGCTGGAGAAGCCTCATAAAACAAAGCCGGCTATAACCTTGCTAGATGTTATAGCTAAATAATACAAAAATTCTCCCCCTGCAATCCCAGTTTTATAGTTGTAAATAGTATGTTCTGCAGGATGAAGAATCCATTTCTGAGGTAATAATATATTTTCTACCACTGGGAAGGATTAAGGGGATATAAAAGTAGCAGCAGCTGCAGTAGCCTTTCTCAGGTAAGTTTCAGGTGATAAAATATTTTGATGAGGAACTGTGTGTGAGCTCCTGACGTAAAAGAATTTGACTTTAAATTTTAGCAGCTCACTTCAGCAAGGCTGCAGGCAGCTAGCTTTATTTAAATTAGGAGGAGGGAAACCAGGACACATTATCTTAGGGTTTTACGATGGGAATAAAACATCTTTTTTTAATTTGAGTGAAAGTTAATACCCCATTTTTTGACAGAGATGGAGCAGAATGGATCTTTGTAAAAGAAATATCACTTCCTCTCTAATTTCAAGCTATTGTAAACTTTCCTTTTGCAAGAGTTGAGCAGCAGCAACAATAATGAAAGCTACCTGTAACAGCGTGCGATACTAGACTCTCAAAGAAAACAGTTCTCATCAGACACGGGGCTCTAGTCCTCCTGGGCGCCCCTATTCTATTGTTGTTGTTGATGATGATTGAAATGTTGAACGCCTCCAAATCTCCCACGTGCCTATTTCGTTGGCCTGCTGGTTTAAAAAAAAAAAAACGCTAGAGGCCATTATTCATGAGCAGTAAGAAAACAAATCACTCTTAGACCTACTCCTCTTGCAGATTCCCACACTTATTACCCAAAATCCCACAGCTTTCTATTGGTTCTACCCTTGACCAAAGTACAGCGCGGAGGCAGCATGCCATCCCCTGGGAAAATCCGATCACGTCCCTCCCGACGAGCTGCGCTGGTTATTCTAGGATCGCAGTTGCGTTAGAATAAAGTCCCTTAACTTTTCTGAAAAGACAGAGTTCGCTCCCCCCGCCAGTGCCGGGGCCATCCCGATTTTGG